TTGGAAGGACTGATGCTGAAGCTGAAACTCCAATACTTTGGCCACCTGATGCAAAGAACTGACTCACTGGAAAAGACCCTGATGCTGGGAAAGATTGAAGGCAGGAGGAGAAGGGGATGACAAAGGATGAGGTGGTTGGATGATATCACTGACTCAATGGACACAAGTTTGAGTAACTCCGGGAGTTGGTGATGGACAGGGAAGCCTGGTGTGCTGCAGTCCATGGGGTTGCGAAGAGTCTGACGATTGAGCAACTGAACTGACTGAGAAACTAGAAATAAGACTTGTCCCCACCAATCCAGTAACATGAGATGAGCAAATCTCCCTTCCCTTAGGGATTTCTAGATTTTAGGATATCCCCCATTGTATTTTGAAAGTAGAGTGAAGCTGATTTTTTTATCTTCTTGCCTTGAAGGTCAACCAGTGTGATTTAGAGGAAAGAACAGGGGACCTGGAATCCAAGGAGCCAATCTAAACCTCTTTGATTCTAGATTTTCGTATTTATTAAGTGGGAACAATAACTATAACTTTCCCCTATGTTTTGTGAGAATTAAATGGTTTAATGTCTGTGATAGGGACCAAAAATTCTGTGATTTAGGGAATATTCTATATCTGCTTTGTCAAATCACATAATCAATAGTTACTTGTAGCTACTGAACATTTGAAATAAGGCTAATGCAAATGAGAAACTAAATTTTTCATTTTAGCTAATTTTAATTAACCTAAATTTTAACTAGTTTAATTAATTTTGATTTTAAAAGACACATTACCATACTGAACTACCATACTAGAAATACTCTCTATACTCTGTCTATAGTAGTTTTAGTTTCAGTTATTCTTACTTCAAGTTAATTACTCTGTTCTGGAAATTCATAGATATATTGTCTTTGCTTAAGAATGAGAGTTTCCCTTACATATAGGCAAATATATATGTAACCATTTTAAACAATTTGTGAGATGAATCAGAATGCAATTGTATTTTTGTCCACTGCTTTCCTTTTAAAAATGTATTCACTGGGGGGAGTTTTTCCCAATACCACTGACGAAAATTCCCCAGTTGGCCCCATGTATCTTTTGGTTACTCTGAGATTTAAAGAAAATTCTGTGGTTATTTAGAGTTGCAAAATACAGTTTTGATTCATGAATTAGAATGCCCCATCCAATATTTCCATCAGCGTACTAACATTGTGGTGTATGACCGATCTCCCTGCTCTCGTGCCCTGCAAGTCTACAGGCTTCTGGGGAGGGAGTGCTGTGCGCACCTTCTCTTTTTCTACCTCACTTCCTCCGTCACCCAACTTGCAAGCTCCTGTTACTGAAGCCTCCAAAATTGGGGAACAGGGAAGAAAAAGGAGAAATAAAACAGAACATTTTACTCTATTAGTGTGATTGAAAGTTGGCTTTGTCTCTGCAGCGTTTATTACTGACACTGTGTATGGGGTGAGTGTGTGCACACGTACAAAAGTGAGCTTTGGGGAATCCTCAGAAGCTTATGACTACCACCTGTGAACTGAGCAACACATCTAATTCTTCTGTTAGAGAGGTCCCCCTCAGCTCTGGTTTTCTAGAGGAAAACACATTAAGCTTTCCAGGAGTATATAGCAAAGCCACTTCCTCTAAGTTTGAGATAAAAAAGGCCATCCCTCACGTCTACCTCTCCACACTGGGTTAGCTCTTCAAAAATCATTCTCATAAAATCCTCTCAGTGTTTTATTCTTCCTTTATTTTTCTTTATAACCTGGAGGTGGGTGAGGAGTCAACAACTGTGAAAATATCCCCAACTTGGGATTTTAGTCAGAAAACAGTTATCTTAGAATCTTGGCCAAATTTTCCAATTTAACCTCCTTGGCCACTGTTGCTCTGTTAACTGTAGCCAAAGACTAGAAATTACATAAAAATCATTAATATGAGACCAATAAACATCTTTGGCATATCCATAGCCATTGTGGGAAAAAATAATGTGGTCTTCTCATATGCAATGATATGGGTCAATCACTGAAATATATTAAGTAAAAAAAGGAAAGGCACTAGACATTCCATATGTTTACAATATTTCTTACTGGAAAGAGTTGGAAAAAACTGACAGCTGCCATGCCATACTTATGAGGAGAGAATTCACAGATGGAAAATCTGAAACCTGGAGTTTCAGCTTACTTCACGTTCTATATGCTAACATATTATTTGCATTTTTTTTTTATTGTGGCAAGAATTACTTTACATTTTTTCTTTAATATCTTTGTAAATATATTTACATACTTAGTAAGGCCTCTATTCATTGCTTAATTTTTTAAAGTTTTTCTGTTTGGCACAAAGTCTCCAACATCTTTTTTCAGCCCTGGCATATTCTGACACAATTGCGTCTACATCCAAGTGAAATGCCCTTTCCAAATAACTGACCAAGTCATTTCTAAATAAGATTTGGAAACTTGAATGAAACACCATGGACTGAATAAATGAGTCTATATTTTTCCATAAATAGGTGAGCTATAACATACTTTTTTTTTTTAACACATGATAATACAGAAAAATAGGCTGGATTACAGGCAGAACATAAAAATATATCCATACTGGATGCTTGCAATCTACATGTAAATACTGAGGAATTAACCTTTATAACTAGAAAACAATGTTCAATTATTGATATTCAAAAACAATGTTTTTATTGAATTTTCAGTTTATTAAAACCATCCAAAAAGAGAATGGTTTAGTAAGCAGAGATTGTTCACTTTGCTTGAAACTTGCTATTTTTCAAGTAGCAAAGGATAAAGAGCCTTCTCCTAGCACTCTAGTTTGAGGATTGAGAATTATATTTATGTATAGGTATTGAGGAGAAAATTTCAGAAAATTAAAGAGTTTGCTATATGAAATGATATGTCAACTAATAAAATTTATTTTCTTTTGAACATTAAAAAACTGGAAGGGAGACCTACCTAAAGTTTTACTCTGATAAATTTTCATAAGGTCAAAACTGGATACTTTCTTATATCTCCTTCCATGGTCCCCCCTCTTCTCACCACACACTCCAGCCTCTGTTAGGCTTTCCTATCCTTTGCAACCCCCACCTTATTTCTCACATAGCATTATCAACTGTATACACATGCTTATCACTCCCTCAATCTTTGTATCCCCAGGACTAAGTAAAGCTCAGGGTGAATTAATATTTGCGTGCTCAGTTGCTTCAGTCATGCCCAACTCTGTATGACCCTACAGACCGTCACCTGCCAGGCATTCACAGATGAAAAATCTGAAACCTGGAGTTTCAGCTTACTTCACGTTCTATATGCTAACATATTATTTGCATTTTTTTTTTATTGTGGCAAGAATTACTTTACATTTTTTCTTTAATATCTTTGTAAATATATTTACATACTTAGTAAGGCCTCTATTCATTGCTTAATTTTTTAAAGTTTTTCTGTTTGGCACAAAGTCTCCAACATCTTTTTTCAGCCCTGGCATATTCTGACACAATTGCGTCTACATCCAAGTGAAATGCCCTTTCCAAATAACTGACCAAGTCATTTCTAAATAAGATTTGGAAACTTGAATGAAACACCATGGACTGAATAAATGAGTCTATATTTTTCCATAAATAGGTGAGCTATAACATACTTTTTTTTTTTAACACATGATAATACAGAAAAATAGGCTGGATTACAGGCAGAACATAAAAATATATCCATACTGGATGCTTGCAATCTACATGTAAATACTGAGGAATTAACCTTTATAACTAGAAAACAATGTTCAATTATTGATATTCAAAAACAATGTTTTTATTGAATTTTCAGTTTATTAAAACCATCCAAAAAGAGAATGGTTTAGTAAGCAGAGATTGTTCACTTTGCTTGAAACTTGCTATTTTTCAAGTAGCAAAGGATAAAGAGCCTTCTCCTAGCACTCTAGTTTGAGGATTGAGAATTATATTTATGTATAGGTATTGAGGAGAAAATTTCAGAAAATTAAAGAGTTTGCTATATGAAATGATATGTCAACTAATAAAATTTATTTTCTTTTGAACATTAAAAAACTGGAAGGGAGACCTACCTAAAGTTTTACTCTGATAAATTTTCATAAGGTCAAAACTGGATACTTTCTTATATCTCCTTCCATGGTCCCCCCTCTTCTCACCACACACTCCAGCCTCTGTTAGGCTTTCCTATCCTTTGCAACCCCCACCTTATTTCTCACATAGCATTATCAACTGTATACACATGCTTATCACTCCCTCAATCTTTGTATCCCCAGGACTAAGTAAAGCTCAGGGTGAATTAATATTTGCGTGCTCAGTTGCTTCAGTCATGCCCAACTCTGTATGACCCTACAGACCGTCACCTGCCAGGCTCCTCTGTCCATGGGATTCTCCAGGCAAAAATACTGGAGTGGGTCGTCATGCCCTCCTCCTGGGGATCTTCCCGACCCAGGGGCCGAACCCTGTCCTTATGTTTCCTGCATTGGCAGACGGGGTTTTACCACTGGAGACACCTGGGAAGCCCACGAAATAGTATTTACTGAATAAATAAATGAATAATGCCACACCCACAGTGACTCACACTGATTCCTCACCGCCTTCAGAATAAAGTGCACAATTCTTAGGCTGATATTTGAAAGTGCTTCATAATTATAAGCAATCTATCTTTCCAACCTTATTTCCTTCATCTTTTGCCCCCAATTCCCCAAATACTACATCACCAAGCACACTTACCTGTGGGGAGAGATGGCGTCTTTTTTGTTCACTGCTGTGTCCCACAGTTTAGGTCAGTGCCTCACACACAACAGATGTTCAGAAATTATCTGTTGAGTTAATGGCCGAATAAATTAACTTTACCAAATATATTTTGTATTTTCCATTTCCTTTTTTTATAAGTAGCTACTCCCTTTATTTTTGCCTCTTTAACTTCCTTTCTCTAATTTCCAAGGCTCAGTAAAGTTTGATCACTTATGAGAAACATTTACAGGTTTCCTAGGCAAAATTAAATTCTCTCCATACAAATATAGACTTATTTGACACTTATCAACACTTCTTTATGCTCTTTTGATCTTATTAAATAGTGGCTAGATTTTAAACTTTTGGGAGTTTAAGACTATGATACTCTCATGTCTCTTTTTCCAGTCTGTTCCCACCTACCTTTTATCACTTTTCTTAGCTGGAATAGCCTAGAGTAGATACAAATTCCACCACCTCTTACTATTGACATGGTATTTCCGTGAATCAGTTTATCTCTAAAACTGGCAGAACATCATTATCTTAACCCTCAAATTAATTAAGTAATATATTTTAATTAAGGGGCTTAAGACAGTATTTGGTACATGGTATCATTATTAATACAAAAGTGAAAAGGCTGGCTTAAAACTCAACATTCAAAAAACGAAGATGATGGCATCCAGTCCCATCTTCATTGCAAATAGATGGGGAAAAAGTGGAAACAGTGGCAGATTTTATTTTCTTGGGCTTGAAAATCACTGTGAACAGTGACTACAGCCATGAAATTAAGACTTGCTCCTTGGAAGGAAAGTTATGACAAACCTAGACAGAGTATTAAAAAGTAGATACATCACTTGGCCAACAAAGGTCCAACAGTCATGTATGGATGTGAGAGTTGGACCATAAAGAAGGCTGATTTAAAAAAAAAGAAGAAAGCTGAGCACCAAAGAATTGATGCTTTCAAATTGTGGTGCTGGAGAAGACTCTTGAAAGTCCCCTAGACAGCAAGGATATCAAACCAGTCAATCCTAAAGGAAATCAACCCTGAATATTCATTGGAAGGACTGATGCTGAAGCTGAAACTTCAATACTTCGGCCACCTGTTTCAAAGAACTGACTCACTGGAAAAGACCCCAATGCTGATAAAGATTGAAGGCACAAGAAGTGGGTAGCAGAGGAAGAGATGGTTAGATAGCATCAGTGATTCAAAGGACATGAATTAGAGCAAATTGTGGGAAATAGCGAAGGCCAGGGAAGCCCACTGTGCGTGGAGTCACAAAGAGTTGGGCACAACTTAGTGACTGAACAACAACAATGTCTACTAAATAGAAAATTCAGTTGCTCTTTCACACCATAGGTTGAGAAACAAAGAAGTTGATTTAAGATCAAATTTTGCACTATATTTTAGAGATTACAATGCTACAAACATATCTGAGTCTCCAGGATGCCACAGTATCTGGCTTTCAGTTACATCTGGAGATTATTTATTTAGAGCATTTAAGATAAATAAGTATCTTGAGATTAGGGAGAAATAGGAATTCTCCTTCATTGTCTATGAACAAAATATAGGATAAATATTTTAGAAGGCAACTCATCAGTATCTCATAAATTTGAAGATATACATGATTATGGTTCAGCAACTCTACAAAATATTCACTAGGATAAATCTTACATTTGTATACAACTGGCACATATAAGAATATTATTTATAATTCTACTTATGATAGCAAAATACTGCTATGCTGCTATGAAAACTAATAAGTTGTGCTACAAAAATCAATATGGATTATCCTTAAAAGTACGAGGTTAAAAGAACCGAGCAAGTTGCAGATGAACACTGTATACTCTAAGGTTCATATAAAATCTTTCAACTTTAAAACAAGCTTATATAATATTTATGGATATGTTCACATGGCAGTAGAAATAGTAAAATATAAAAATAAAGGCAGATAAAAGAATAAAAGCACACAATAGAGAGAGAATCTACAAAGACTGAAAAGCAGTGACTGCTGAGGTAGGAGAGTGAGAAACAGAACCAGGTAGAGCAGTTGGTTTTTTTTAATTTCTAAAATTTTTTTTTTTTTTTGCTAGGCTGGAAGGTGAGTGTGCAAGGCTTTATGATATCTGTCTATCTTTAAATGGACATCTACTATGTACTGTATTTTTTCAGAAAAGTTCCAAATTAAGTGCTCTTCCCAATGGAAACAGAAGACACGAAAACTCCCCTCTACCATTCCTGGAAAGTAAACCTAGTGGTCGTTCTCCTGGCTAGAGATGATGTTTCTGTTTCTTCCCAGGAAGGCTCCTACAAAGAAGCTTCATCACTGAGCAAGGTGGTGACTATAGTAATCAAGAGAGAAACCCTAAGGCAAAATAAAGCTGTCGAAGCAGTCAGTCTAATCTTCTTTCCCCTTTCCATCCCTAGATACCTGGAGATTCTCTTTCTTCAGCATGCTTCTATGAGTGAGGCAGGAGGAAGAACAGAACTAAGTTTCATTTTACTGAAGGAGGTGCTTGCTTGCTGTCTCTATTTCTCTGGCCAATTCTGCTGGCTCTCTAGAATTCCAATTCCACATGATTAACAACACAGTTTACCTTTCCACTGAAAGGTCAGCTTAGCTCCAATTTCAAATTGCCTGAGACACATTTCCCCCACAAGAACTAGCTCCCTCTCTTTTGCTTCAGTATTACTGTTATTCTCTCAGGGCCGAGCTTAAAAACTCAAAAGCATTTTGACTGTTATCATTTATTATTATTAAATTATTATTGTTGTTTTGTTATTGAATTCCCATCCCCCTCTTCCCTTTTCATTCCCAGCACCTGTTATTTATTCCAGACACTATGAACTCCCCTTCCTCTGAGATTCTGGGTATGTATTTCTTCCATGTTCAGGGAAGTCATTACACTTTGTTTTTGACTCACATTCAAGTTTTCGAATTTATTTTTTTCTGTCCTCTAATTATTACAGTTCAAGCAAAGATTTACGGAAACTTCTTTAATCTCATGATCCTGAGTATCTAAGCAGTAGGAATGAACCAACAGTGAGGCCAGGAACGACTTGAGTTACTGATGGATTAGCACTTTCTGCCTTTGGCTATTTATTAGCACATACCTCCTCTAGTGGAATAGGATCCCCTCAAGGGCTATGCCTCAGTCAGTCTAACCCCAAACCCCAGCCCAGTGGGAGCACATTGTAGGACTGCTAGAAATAACTGTTAAGTGAATAAATGACATGTCCTAGAGACAGTAGACTACAGATGACATTCAACAGCAAAAGTAATGCCCTTTTAGATAGCATATTATATTTATCAACTGATTCTGCAGCTTTCCTTCTCCTTTGTTTTCAGTCTGGACTTCCTGACATAGTTCCTGAGAAAGTTTACATTTAAATGATATATCCCATGCAAAACTTTACACACTTGTCACAAATACCAGTTACTATCACCTTCAGTTATCACCAAATACCATAGAAGACACATAGTTTTAACAGACAGCTAGGCATTGGTGTAGTCTTTCAAGAGAAGATTTTCCAAAAATTCAACCATGACATACTTTCACTGTATGTCATTAAATTTAAAATCAGTTTAATTTCAAATTGCCTTTTGTCCTCCAAATTAGCTAATATATTTTAAGACAGGATGGTGTTTAACAGATCCTGTCTTAATAGTCTTTATTACCTCTAAGACAGACACATAAAATTATCTGTTTATAAATTAGCTCCAGGGAAGGTAAGAACACAAAAATAAATAAAACATTTAAGCTGTTTCTAAAGTGTTCAACTAAGTTGTAATCAAACTATGACTTCACAATTCCTACATTCTGTACAGTAATGATGAAATCTCACTATTATGAATTAATCACATAATTAAGTTATGGAGGATGTAAAAGGATCTCCACAAAAGTAGTGATGACTTTAAGAATACAGCAAAATTGCATTATCCTCTCTGCTAATTATTATTACGTAAAAACCAGAGATTAACACAGGTGATCCAATATCAACCCTAAAATTATACCCACTGAAAATGGATTTAGACATGTTTTAAGGAGTCAGAGATACTTTCATAAATAAGAGGCACTAGAATTCTCACTACGCACTCCTTGATCTGTTTTTTTTTTAATTGTGGTAAAAACACATAATGTAAAATTTACCATCTTAACCAACTGTAAGTGTAGAGCAAGTGTAGAGTACTGTTCAGTATATTTACATTATTGTGCAATCAATCTTTAGAACATTTTCAAATTGCAAAACTGAAACTCGTTACCTACTAAATATTTCCTATTTCTCCCTTTCCCTAGTCCCTGGCAACCACTATTCTACTTTCTGTTTCCATGAATTTGACTACTCTTAATACATCATATAAGTGGAATCTTACAATAAATTATTCCTTTAATCTGTTTTTGAAGCTGAATTGAAACTTCATTATGAAGAAAGTCCACCCTCCAGTAGCTATTGTCTATGCATCTATTCAGCATAATGCATAAAATTCATTTATACTATTAATCCAATGAGGTAGGTTTTATACCTACCTTACAAGTGTGGAAATGGGGGCTCCACAAGGTGAAATATTGTGCCAAAGTTCACACATCTAATAAGAAGTGGGGCCACTGAATCTAACTTTATCTGACTTTAACATCCACAGTCTTTTCAACACAGCTGTTGCCTTTTGAAATATTTAAAAGTTTCAAAGGATTTCAACCATCCACATATTTGATGTAAGTCAAAGTGGGGTTCTATTGTTGTTGTTGTTGTTTATACCTGACTTTGAATGTAGCATGTCTTATTGTTCTTTTCATAAATTATTTCATCCTATGCCATGTCTCAGGTATTAGTTTATTTTATGTGTTAAAATTTATTCTAAACCATGTCCCACAAACCCACAGAGTATCAATTACCTTCTCTTTTTCTTTCCCAAGAAGGCCTTGGGAAGGAAGAAACATTTACTTTATTCAATTGTTTTGGAAATGACACAATTTCCTATTTGCACCATGTATCAGTAGAGAAAAGAATTAATTTTTAAAAGCAGCACTTACAATTGCAGAAAGGAACCCCAGTCTCTTCAGTTCAGGAACATTATTTGGTAGAGTGAATGGAAGCCTTTCTACCCCAAACCAAGGACTCCTTCCAAACGTGCCTTGCTCTGTATGTGGCGCCTGAACTCTTACTTACTAAGCCACCTGGGACTAGGAGTCCCTGTGGTATGGCTCCAGGCTGCTCACCCGGAAACCCTAAAAGGGAGAAGAACTACAATACCCACAATTCAAATTTCTCACCTGAAACTGGGAGAAGAGGGTGCAGCTTGCTCTGGGAAGGTGGAAAAGCAAAGCAAAAAGTAAACATGCATGTACTGGGTGGGTATATCTAAGAACAACTTGTAAATATGAAATTATTTCTATAAAAGGAAACAAAAACAGGTTTGATGTTTGCCAACAAGTAAGAGGGTGCCCTCACTGTTGGAACGAACTAAAAAGACTTTATGCAAACAAATCCTCATTCAGCTGCGCAACCTGCCACACCAGATTCTCTTTCAGTGATTCAGGGCAGAGGATGCCTCATTACCTTGTGCAACAGGTGAATGAGAACTTCCCAGGTAAATCCTGAAAGCCTCTAGTTAATCCTGCATCAGTATTGTGATTGTCACTCACAGGTGCTAAAGGATATAATAGAAACATTTTACCCTTCAATTTCCAAATGCCCTAGATTACTTTAAATGTGATTTTAAAATGTGAACAAGATGAAACTTGTTGATATTTTCTATCATTTTCCTTTCCATTCCTTGATTTTGTGTTTTCCTTCTGTGCATTCCAGCATTACCTCTGATTGCTCAAAACTCAAAAATAAGAAAATTGGAAGGAAAAATTAAAAAAAAGAAATTTTAAAACTTGGGTAAAATTAAAGGTGCAATAATTGTTTCACTTCTTTGCAACACTGGGAAAGTGTTAGAAACAAACAAACAAAACCTAAAAAATGTATCTTCACCATTTATTCATACAGCATCTGACTCTAGCCTTTTCTTTCTCATTAGAAACAAACCATAAAATGGTTATAGACAAGTCCTGGTCTCAACCCAAAAACCTAATGGAAGGATTCAGCTAAAGCAAGCAGATGGCAGAATGGTGACAAAGAATTTTTTTTTCCATTTTCTGCACTTTCTCTTTCCCTGCCTCCCCACTAAGGAAATGGGTTTCATGTGGCCAAACCTACTTGATCCACCCAGAGCTCTTTTGAAGTTTCCCCTTGGGTCATTCCACAATTCAAACTGAGTCATTCTATTTCCTTTGCCACAGATCTCCCAATCTCCTGACCAGAACCTAACTTGCCCTTATGGCATTTATATTATTTTCAAAACAAACAGTTTTCTGTTTCCCTAAACCCTACAGATTTTGTTCTCCATGCTGTTTCTTCTCTCTGAAATGCTATTTTCCCAACTTTAAATGTTCAGATCCTTCCTTTCTTTCAAAGCTCAGTGAAAAAAAAAAATTCTTTTCTAAGAAGCCCTTGCCAGTCTGTCCTAATCTGAATTATTTTCTCTCCTAACAAATTTCATATATTATCTAGCCCTCTCATAACAGATTTTATACCTTATTTTATTGGTGTGTGTGTGTGTGTGTATGTGTGTGTATATATATATATATATATGTGGTCTTATCTTCCAATTTGAAGATAAGATCTTATTTTATTCCCACTCACTTACTCAGTGATTTACATGTAAATGTTTCTGATAAAACAACCAATGAATGAAGTAACTGAGGTATTTACTCCAAGCTGGATAATACCATCTTTATCTCTCCCAGGAAATATTTGCATTTAAAGATCCCTTTAAATACCTAGGAGGAATACTGATCTCAGAATGCTCCTGTGGTCTAGTCTGGTGCAGCTTTCACACTCTCTATTTGCAGAATGGTATGGTACTAAGTCTATCAATTTCACTCCTGTCAGTACCTGAAATGAACACTTTACTGGATCAGAACTAATTGTTTTACCAGTTCTGCTCCGTGCTGTGCACTTAGCTTGCTAACAGCTTCCCAAAGACTGGCCCTCAGTCCCATAACTGCATCTTGGTTGGAGACACGGACCTGCCACCATCTACAGTTTTTGCTCAGCTCCAGTGTTTCTGGTTCCCTTCCCCTACAATCTAATCTCATGGTTCTGAAGTGAAAACTCTGCCCTTTAGACTTCTTTAAATAATTCTTAATCACTGATCTCTCCCACCCAGGAAGGGAATTCTTTCAGTAGTTGTTAGTTCCTTACGTGTCTACTTCTATAGAATTCTTCCAGTCTTCACGCACTCTGCTATGTAGTCTAGCTGTCAGCCACTGTGGAGGAAGTGAACCTTCTAGATTCTGCTGACACACAGTGAGATATCTGTGGATCATCAGACACAAAGGCAGGCTAGTGAAGGTGACTGTTGGTCAGGAGAGTCTTCCCAACTGTCCTCTAGTATATCTTAAGGACTTCTAGCCCCTCATCCTGCCTGTGTGCATACAAGCTATCTAAAATTGGGCAGGGAATTCATCCTCAACACAGTTCAGAGTTGCTTCCTTAAGCATGTCTTTTCTGATCCATTTACCCCAGTCTTAACCCCTTACATGTTTCTTGTACTAATTTACACAAATGTCTGGCTGAGTTGATATTTTGTTAATGCTAAACCAAGTTGTTTTCATTTCTACCCTGAAATCATGATCACTTGCAGCCACAAGATTTTTTGCACCTAAAAATTAAGTAGAATATGGGTATCTGTTATTTCCTGACAGATAGTATAAAAGTATAGAAAGCCAGCCCTTTCCACCCCAGTGTGTGGAAAGAAGAAAGCCAGAGGGTGAGCGGAACTCTAAGAGGGCTTCAGTTGAAACAGTGGCTCAGTAGATAAAGAATCACCTGCAGTGCAGGAGATGCAGGAGACACAGTTTCGACACTTGGGTTGGGACGATCCCCTGGAGAAGGGCATGGCAACCCACTCCAATATTCTTGCCTGGAGAATCCCATGGACACAGGAGCTTGGGCATGCTACAGCCCATGGGGTTCCAGAGAGTTGGACACAACTGAAGCAACTGAGCATGCACACACATGCACCCTAGGTACTGAAAAGTGAAATATATCAGGTGCAGGGCCTCCATGTTCAATCACACAGCTGACACCACTGTATTCTTTGCCCAGCTAGGAGAGCTATTCAGGACCTGACACCATATTCTTCATTGTGGGAACATAAAGGTGCCAAGTGGGCAAGTGGACATGCAGATACTAGGGGGTTAGGACAAAGAGGCTATATTATGCTTTGTGACCCAAGAAAAATGGTAAGGATCATATAATGGTGTCATGCTTGCACAACACTTCAAAAAGGCCTGTTGGTCAAGCACTAGAGTCAAAGCAAACTCCTCTATAGCAGGTGACTAGCCAGGACCCAGACAATATGACATGGCTTCAGATCCCCTTCTTTCCCCATACCATAACGTTATGTCTGTCTTCCTATATACACTTAGGGACCATCTTAAAACTGAAGATGGAGGAGGAGAAACTAAAAGGCTGAGAGCCAAAAAGGAGTTATCCAAAAGATTATTTAAGCTAAAAGAGACAGCGAAGTATTAAACTGTGAGTTTAAAATCTGCTACACTCCATCCATACTTTAATGGTGACAATAACATGGAAGCCAAAATGCCAGTGACTCACTGTCCCAGCTAGCCTGGGAGGTTAGGGATTAGGGAAAGCACTGAGGGTGGCTAATCAGACACAGTTCTGTGGCACCTGGAATTAGGAACTGGAGATACAAAGAAGCAGAGACAGAGGAGAATCCACTCCTGAGGTGAACAGAGGGAGCTGAGAAAACAATGCTCTGGATGTGTTTGTCAGAGCCATGGAGTGTAGAACCCAGAACTCTCAGTAATGGTTCTGCAAACTGTGGTTCCTAGGGCTTAGCAGAAAAAACTAACATTCAATAACATAACCTTGTCTGTTGCTTTGTCTTCACAAGCCATGTGCCTGATTCTCTAGCCTTCAGCAATTGTGGGGCAAGAATTTGATGCATCCTTCTTCAATTTACATCAGCCAAATTAAATTTCTATTGCTTGGAATTAAGAACATTGACTGATACATACGTTTAATGTAGTTCTTACCTCACCATAACAGATATTACCTCTGCTTACCCAACTTTATTAAGACTCCATCTGATCAAGGACTGGGTCTTATTTAATCCCTAAACATCCAAAAGCTCCACAGTATCTAGAAGTGGTAGATACTCATTGACCTAACTGAACCGACCTGTAAAATGAGGAAGGCTTGCTTAAAGTTTTTCTAACTTAAAAATTTTCTGACCACATGGAAGCTGTCAATTGCTCATTAATGCAGAGGTAACTTTTTTCTCGTAATACCAAATCTGATAGAGAGTTTAGACTTTAGTCCCTCTCTGTATTTGGTAGGGAGCAGAGCTAGGGACTCCTGGCACCCATAGGGGGAAATCAAACACAAAAAGTGGTTTGAATATGTCCACGGTGTTACTTAATAATCAAAAGGGGATTTTCTTGGTGTCCTTTAATGACCCATATTAAATATCACTCATGTTTCATCCCTATGTTTGGAACAAATATACTAGAAAGAGTGATAGGCAAAAGCCATATCCCTCCCCAACCCCCCATGATCAGATTCTTCCCCATATGAGGCTGTCTTGGAAAGGGAAAGGCCACTTTTGCAAATTTATAAGAAAGATCCCCCTGGAGTTTTTTCTCTGTCCTGTTTCGGTATGCCATTGACTCTTATATCCCTGGGCTGCCTATGACATCTGTTTTCTGGATCACTTTGTCCCTGAGTCATGATCATACTGCAACTTTCCCAAAACAGCTAATACTGTGCCATTTACCAGTTAATTTCAGTGAGTATCTCAAATCATAGAAAAATGTTAAGTTAGTCAGTCAGTCAGTCATGTCTGACTCTTTGTGACCCCATTGACTGTAGCCCACCAGACTCCTCTGTCCCTGGAATTCTTCAGGCAAGAATACTGGAGTGGGTTGCCATTTCCTTCTCCAGGGTATCTTCCCAACTCAGGGATCAAACACGGTTCTCCCGCATTGCAGGCAGACTCTACTGATTTAGCCACACCAGGGAAGCCCTTAAATGTTAGGGCTAAAGTTAATTTAGGTCACATTGATCCTA